AAGGAGCTTCCTGAACGAATTAAAGATGGGTGCTATCCAAGTGCACTGAGTTTCAATCACAAGGAGTCCTGCTTCAGCACTTTAAGCATATAAACAAATCATAATATAAGTACATAAAAATCAAAATCTTTATTTTATTTGAAATTATGATGCTGTTTGTCTAGTTCGGTTAATACTTATTTCTCTTTCAAATCCCACTCATCCTTCCGCCTTGACTTTGCTAAGGGAATTCATCTTATGAATGTCTCATGTGACATCCTTATCAAATGTCCAAGCTGTTGCACTTGTGCCTGTTAGACCTGGTGAAATAACTCTTTGGACTCTATTTAATCAGTGTTGTTGAATGGTTTCACACTGCGGTGCTTGCCTGATCATCCTTATCATCATGATCCTGATTCTTGCGCCCATTCTCAAGCCCTTTTTCTCATCGCTTTGAAGGCGATCCAAAGACAATCAAACTTCTCTACTTTATCAAGTTTCACTACATTTAATGCACATCAACGTAAGCGAGCTTTCTTCATGGCATCAAAATCTCGGTTTATTCAGGTTGATTTTTATTACAGTTTCATCGCATGTAGCAGCGCGCTGATAAATGACAAATTGGAAGTCTCATTGGATGTAAAGATATTATTCTGCAACAGTGAAAAGGCAATCGAAGCTCACTAGGAGTGGCGTTGAATTTGCTGAGCTGTGTCCAATTTTCCAATGCATTAAATTTATGAGCGTTAAAGGATATGACACATCCTTAGCGGAGATCAACGCGACATTCAAAGGCATCGTCTTTCTGTCATTAATCAGGACACAGATCTCCAAGCACTTGTATGTAGAATTCGTAGTTTTGGATAAGTCGTCATACTTAGTATCGGTGAAGGAGTATTCATTGGTTCAACCTTGTCCTTAGCGAATCGACCTATGATACATGTTTATGCCTCCTTGACATACTCTGTACAATTTCCACTTCTGAGGGAGTCAAAATCTGGCACACGATGCTACAGCTGGGCAGAAGTAACACTCGTCCTCACCACATTGAAACAGCCACTCCATTACTCCTGTACATTTCTTTTCTAATGATTTAGCCTAGACGCCTCCAAATTCGGAAGTGGCATCATAATAAGAATTTAATTGCACGTTGAGTCCGTTGCGGCAACAATGCCAAGGCCATGATACTTGGATTGTCGTAGGTGTTTCCCGTGCGAAAGTGGGAAAAAAGAATGAGCTGTATTGATGCTTTGGATTGAAAGATATGAGTGAAAGGCATGATAGCAGTAAGAGACTAGCAGAATTGTGTGAGATGCACGATTCACTTTCTGGCAGCACAGAGTTTTCTCACAATGCGTGCATGACATCACATGATGCTCCATTGATGCATCAGCAGTAGACTAGATTGCCCACTTTCTCTTTACCAGAAGTAATCGAGCATGCCTGGAATATGTTAGGGTGTGGAATAGAGCCAAATTCAAACGTGACCATGAGTTGGTGACGGCTAAGGTCGAACAACAGCTTCGGTCCTTGATTAGCTGCCAAAAATTGAACGCAATATTTTAAATCGACAAGCCTAAATATCCAGAAGTTTTCTCAGCACATGGTTCCCGATTGGTGGAACATTCAGACCATATATTGATTACACAAGCGCTATATCGGCTAAAATGCTGAGAACCCATTCAAAGAAGTAGTTGTGACAAAGGTGAAAGGATAATTGGAACGTAGGAAAGGTCGAAAGAAGTCGTGGATAAATTTGGAAACTAAACGGCTATAAGAAACGAGCAGACTTGCCAAATCCGACAACAGACAGAGTTTCAGAAGATAAGTAGGGAAGCAAGTTCAGAAATCGCTAAAGCGAGACGAAACACTCTGGCCAAAATATTAGGAAATGCGGTTTGGGAAAACTGCATGAAGACCTTCTAAGGAAAGTCCATATGAACATCGATAGAAAGAAACCTCGACTGACATCTTCCATACAACCTGACGATTATAATTATATCAATCCTGCAGAATTTATAGAGATGCGGGGAAACAATTTTTAATCGTAACTCAACCGTAACGATACACTGTAAGAAGAAGATCAATGCTGAGCGGGACTGTCGACCTTTGAAGAAGCGATTGAAACTGAAGCCAAACGAAAAATGGCGTATCTGCAGAAACCGATGGAATGCCGCCAGAGTTAACTAATAAGTCTCGACGGAGTGCTGTTATTGGTGAATCATTTTGAGTTGGTATGACAGAAGCAGGAGATACCGAATGACTGTGCGACAGACATTGCAGCTTGAAAAGCGTTTGCATGAAATCGAACAACTACCGTGGAATGAATCTACCATCAATGAAAGATTAATACAAAAAATTCTTATTCGTTTGTTACTTGGAATAAAATTAGACAGAATCTTTTGAACAATTTAACTGAAAAATAGTCTGAGTTCAGGACAGAGTGAGTATATTTGACCAGATACTAACAATGAGACACGTAATGAAAAAGAAGATAGAATGAGAATCGAAATTCTTTAAAATCATTGTTGATTTCTCATAGCGTTTGACTCGGTTTGAAGAGAAGTATTGTGAATAATTGATGACCAGTATGGAATACCCAAAAGTATTCGATTAATAAAAAATATATATGATCTGTCGTGTGTGCTTTGGTGCAACAAATCGAAAAAGGGTTGACTTGCAAATAATAGGGTCACAATGGTGAACTGTTTCGGACATACTAATGCCTGCGAAATATGCGGCTGTGTTTTTTGATGCTTCCGTTTTACGACTAAAATTTGCTTTAATTCACCTGACAGGTGACTCACAGTCAGCACAAATTGGAAACGTAAATTTCACTGTTTGATTTATATGTGAATTTGGGAGAGTAAAATTATGGAGGAGTATACCTTTCAACGATTACATGCAACATAAACATATTTTTTGCAATATTTCTTGGTCGAGTATGTGATGACACAGTGAGCGCGTATTTTCGCTACGGATTTAATTAACTGATTTCATGAGTAATGTTGCATTCATATTGGAACTTCGCTCTAAAGCTAGAGGCTGTGAACAATAAGAATTTTCCATGCCTTTTAAACGAATTAGGCATATTGCTTCCAACTGTTGCCGAAAGTTAGCAATTAGAATTGGAAAAATAGTTTTTAATTACAAGTATTGAAATGGCGGGAAAATCGCTACCGCCTAAAACAGAACTTTTCGTTCCTGATAATCAGCAGTTGCTACAGTTCTCGCTTCTCGGAATTAAATGCGCAGTTTTTCAATTTTTTGCAACTACACAATACCGCAGTTTCTGACCATTCCTCACTTTCTAAAAACTAACGCCTAGTTTAAATTTTAATTAGGCAAAGGAGTAAAGAAACAGCAAAATATTTAGTAAAATCGATCACGTGACATTTTCGACCAATCACGGTACATATTTAAATATGATCGACGCCATGTTGCTTTTTCAGTGTCGACTTAACTCCGGCATCGACGGCAACAAATTTTCGTGCAGTTTTTTGGAATATGAACTCTGTAAACCCAAGCGAGGAGTGCTGCTTTTTTCAATATTACTATGGCTGGAGCACCGAACGACGAGATCGGGCGATATTCCAACTGTTCGACACCGGCTGGACTTTCGTACAGACTTTCAATCTGTGGTACCGTAGACTGGACGAACCATCGTCGGGTCGACCATCACTGATGCCCGACATGCAGTTTGTTTACTGGGATGTCCTAGATTGGATCAAGAAACCTCTCAGTTCAAGAACGCTGGAACAAATTCAGGCAACGATAACGAATCGTTTCCCCAACCGGATGCCGTTGCAGGATAACTTCGCCATGGAAACCTTCGACGAACTTTTGTACTGTTAAAATCAACGATGTGTAGTAATAGATAAAGAAGCGTTTTTGAATTTTGCTGTCAAGACTGTCAATTTTTTTTTGCTTGTAAATTTCACGTTTTTTTATATTGGAGATGGTCGTTTGACCGATTAAACCGTTGTATATCTGACTCAGTTTAATCTCGAGATGCGTTTGTGTAATTCATCGTTGATGAACTGGACGGCACATGAACCAGATTGAAATCTAGGAAGCTTGAATCAGATTAGACCTCGCGAATGTCACTAGAAGTGACAGCCATGTAGTTATGCGTATTGTTGAATACATTGCTTTCATTTTTCACGCATGAAGCGTGCAAGGTTGATACGTGTGTTGAAATTGAGGTTTGAGGTGTGTCACGTACCTATACGCCGCTTGCAGTTGTAATATATCGTGTTTGTTGTGTGTAAAATGTAATTCTGTATGAAAAATAAACGCTACCTGAAGTTCGAATTTATTGTACTGTTGCTGCCCAATTACTTGATTTATGCTGCTGAAAAGTGAACTTGAAACATACTGCTGAAGCTGCACATGCTGAAGTCAACTGCTGTAAGTTTTTTCTTTTATTAATAAGTTTGCTCCTTGGCTCAAAAATGGCTATGGCCCTGATGTTTTTCTGAGTTATTTGGATGACTATACGTTTCGTTCATAGTAAACTGAAAGGGATTGTCTATGCGCATGCGACTCAACGGCAATTCAGTCTGTTTAGCCAGAATTTAGTTTAACATGAACTGCACGTTGAACCACAATGTATACGTTACAGGCATACTTCACGTATAAAATTACACCCTGATAGACTCGGCAATGGCGAACTAATAGCCACGAGAGAGTACAAGAAGTTTTTTATTTATACTATTATTTTATGTTTTGTATTATTATCAGTATTATATATTTTGATGCTCTTACGAAATGGCGATCATTCCGCTGTCTCAGTGGTCGACATGCTAATGCAGTATGTAAGGCCTGCAGTCTAATGTGCTGGCTTTTGTATCTCCTTGTTCAATAATGACAGAAAGAGCCACAGAGTCCTCATCTTGCTTAACTCATATATAACCGTTAAGAATTCATTCATTTTATACTGCTGATGTTGGAATATTGCACTGTTATATATTGATGTTAAATATAGTTAAGATTTTATGTAAAAAATGACTGAAGGCTGCGAATATATTTATATACATCATTATCATAGGGGCAATAACGCAGCTGATTAGTACGTTGCCTTGCATATCGTAAGAGGCGGGTTCATGTCCTAAGCGCGGCGTAAATTTTTCTCTTTATAACGGCACTTTTTTGGGCAAAAAAATTTCCCTACTTTGCATCGTTTGAGCCAGCCGAAAAATGGAAAGGAAGTTCAATCAACAGAGAATATGGCCTTCTGCTCTGATGGTGTTGCAGTGTGCAAGGCTTATGTCCATGCTGCTGTGTGCGCCATACGGTTCGTCTTGACCCACCTGATAGCTGACTAAAGGTCAGGGCAAGGTGTAAACAGTAAAGTTTAAAGGTGCGAATGATTCATTCAAAACAAGACTTACCAGCTTACTGCGCCGTCCCATTGGTCCTAATTGCTTCGGGGGCCTTTGACAAAGCCATCAGCGCTATCGTGCTTAAGTGTCTGCAGTGCAAATATGTCTTGTATCGCGTTATTTGCCACGACAGTCTCGCTGGTCACGGTGTTTCAGAAGCTGGTACGCCTTATATATTACCGCGTAATTGTAATAAGTGTAGAAACATGCGGTGTATGGTGTTAGCAGTATCATATTTCGTATTACACCGTCCTTTTCTTCTGTCGGATGAGGGGCGTTCAAGCAAGCCGCAGTTTGCTTTTATGTACTACCGCTTAGACATAAAAGATATGAGTTCACACTCCGCAGTGTGTTAACGAACGAATTGTTCTTCCAAGACCAATTTTCGCAATGCTCCTTACAGTGCTCCATGCTGATTTAAATTCTTATGCTATATGGTGCTGTCAGTAAGTCGACTTAGATTCTTTCTTCCACCTTCATTGAAATCGATGGTGCAGTTCATTGCATTGCAATTTCTCAGTCGAAAGTTGACTGTATCGGTGTATAGTTTTCTTTCTGGCTGTAACATACCTATGACCGGATATGCTGACAATCTTGATTGGTTTCGCGCAAAAAGTTTATTGCATTTTCACTTCTAGCATTGTTCATTTTTTAGGTACGCCCGTGAACACTCGGTAGAGTCCATGAGTTTGTTTTGTGGAGGAGACCACGTGTCAGTATTTATTCAGACGTTTCACAGTAAGGAATCATGTAGTTAGCCGTAGTATCTGACAAGTGCCTCTACTATGAACTCTGCTGCGAAATTACGTGAATTATTGTTCGATGTTAAAAGATTCCTGAGAAATATCTCCGACAGTTTTCCTCAGCTTTTCGGTTGTGTACAGAAGCTTTGGTATGAACAAATTTATCTTACTCTTAAAATCCACTGCGGGAGACAAAAAAATTTCGAATCCTCATTAGTTTATAAGCTTAGGCGTTATACTCCTCGGCTTAACGCGATTTTCGCCTATTTCCTTTAATAAACCTTTTTGCGAATTTTTTGGCGATCTACGCGCGCCCGCTTCCTCATTACAAGTTTTTCACGAAGGCCTTTCGCCTCTTGACGAAGTTAGAGAGACTAATATGGAAAGAAATATTTGCGGAGGTGCTGTCGACTTATCGCAAACGAGAATCAGAAATTAATTGTGTTTGTTGAACGTACATGCAGAGTCATTACCTTGAGCCGTTTGCAGATGCAGAACTTGTTTAGTTAATGATTCCGCTGTATCTACTGCTTTTTAACACCAGCTATAAGGCATCAGGTACTGCATCGCATAAAGAAATCTACCTCTGAAAGCAGGTCTGCCTCTGCCTTATTCCTCCATGTTGCATGCTTCCCTCCTGACCGACATCTGCCGTGTTTCTACTCCCTCAAGAGAAGCTCTCGGACTGGAGTAAATGACGTATGCTAAATAGTTTTTCTACTAGAGTCAGCCCCCCTTGTTTTAATTTCCATATCTGCTGAGGTCACCTGTAACCGCAAAAGAATACAGCCATTCCTTTTGTGGTCCTGTCATTTAGTCCGCATTATGCGTCGAAGGCTGCTGTACGCATTTCAACCTTCGATCTGGCTCCTTCCTAGGAACAAATGTTTCAGTGCTCTGCGACAACACCTTCCTAACCATGGCAAAACACAGCAAGACTCTCCTTTTTCAGTGCAAATATTGCAAAAGTTACTAAAAGTAGTCGAGATTAGGGCGATTCTCTTATTTAATTCTGACTGGATGGTGCCGTGTTTTGAGATGATGGGTCTGATTACTACAATTAATCCACAGCCTGAATCATTTTACCTCACTGCTACACTTGTAGATCAGCGGTGCTGGATAGATTCTTTATAACTTTTGACTTTCGGGTTTTAAGTAAGAAGCAGGTTGTGTTGCATACGGATGCCGCTAGGTAACAGCCTGAATCTCCGTACTACTACTCACAAGGCTAATATTATCTACTTAGTTCAGGTTAGGAAAATATATAGCCCGGTATTTTCCACTTCGCTTTGCGTTTAGAATAAGATCTTTGCTTTTGCCAGATCAACGCTGTTTCAGAGATAAAAATCAAGAGCAGTGTTGAATAGCCCAGGCGAAAGCACATCTGCCCGGTGAACTCTGCATTTAGTAGGGGGCCACTTACTTGGCTCTCCGTCGACTTTGACCTGGAAAATACAAGTGACGTCGTCGAATGCTGAGTAAGAAACGAAGTTCATGTTGTATTCTGCAAACAGTCACCTTACGCTTTTTTAGGTATTGCGGCAACATGACGGAACATAATTTAATGGCTTTATGCAATTATGAATGAGACTGTGGACCTAAGAAATCTTGAAGAAAAGAAGTCTCAAGAATCGTCCATTAGGTTGTCTTGTAAAGACTTCGAGTCCTACTACATGATTAGTTCCAAGAAAATTCGGATAGCTTAGAATTTGGTGAATTTTGCAGGACGACTGTTTGCCTGTTTGCCTGTGTCCAAAACCTGCATGTTCTTCTGAAGAGAGTATAAACTCTGTGGGTCGCGTTGCAAAGGGAAGAACGAAACATTCCTTTAAGAAGGAGTTTGAAACTGGACAAAATTTCTTTGCATCAGCGCTTGGCAGGAATGCGCTTGTCAAGAAAGTTCGTTTCTTTCCTTTCGTTTTTTCAGCACACGATCGTCACCAATGAATCCAGCAGCTTCTACGTCCCTTCGCTTGTCTTGCAGCGAAGGAGCTTATTTACTTGAAATTCATGCGACTGCTATGCAGTTATTTTATATACCTAGTTTAATTCTTTTTACTATTTGGCCGTTTATTTCTGTTTTGTTTTGCCTTAGCTTATTCTCTTGGTCGAAGCGATGTTGCACGACCAAGCGAATGAGCTTCCTATGACATTTCAGTTCACTTAATCCGATCCTTCTGGATTCGTTCTGTTTACAAGTGAACTGGGTAGACTTCATGTAGTATCTCTTCTGCTTGTATTTTCTGGCTGAACCTCTTTTCTTTTGTCAAGGATTAGAAATTTTGGTTAAGGAAATTTGCAAGCCGTTTTCTGCTGCATTTGTGATCTCTGCTTTACTCTAACATGTTTATACTCTAACAGTTCTATGTACGATACGTAATGGCAAAGTTATAAATTATTGTTATAGATGAACGTCTTTCATTGTTTTTCTCTTTAGCCCAACGTCTTTCTGGCAGATCCGTTTGAAAATCAAGTTTAGTTGTCATCTTCCTCGGAAGATTTACCGTCAAGTGGCTCGGTGATTCTGTGAATCGCGGTGTTCGTAAACCCGTTTTGGTATCAACATTTCGCCTTTCGCTCGTTTAAGTGATTCAGCGGTTTCACAATGAAAACTTACCTAATTCACCTAATTCACTCATGTCTGAACTTTCGTAGTGCGGTAATAGTGTATCGCTCATGATTGATGTATATGAGCGGTTTCTGTTTCAGGAAATCGACGCACTGTGTGAGATGCTACATGCAAAAATAACTTATGAAATAAAGGAAGGGGTAAGTGTGTTTGTAGTTGCTCTTCGCTGCGTTGCAGTGG